AGCTAACTAGAAGTGTCTTGCTAAGTAAAGAGCTCTTTAAGTATATCTTCTTTAGTAAGCGTCGATCGATGTAGCACCTAGTCGCGCTATTATCTAAGTAACATTTAACCCGCTATCCGTTAACTATAGCATCGAATACTATATAGTCTATAACGGATACCGGATCCTTACTTATAGAGGTCGACGAGAGTATTAGCTACGTAGCAGGTCCCGAGAGGGTTAGCGGAAGAATCGTATTACTTAGGTGCGCTAACTAACGTTCGCCTAGCTCGTTACGCTGCGGGCTTAGGCCGAGTCGTTTCCCGACTTATAGTTGTTATCGAGGTTAACGTTAAACTCGAGATTACTTAAGTCGTCCTTAGGAATAGGCTCCTTAGTAGCCTTATCGTACTAGGGCTGCTTAATAGTTATAGCGTTCTGCTTAATAGGCTTAATCTTATACTTCTAGTATAGGCACTTAGGGCTGTTCTGTTAATAACTCTTCTTCTTATATACGTAGTAAGAACCGGAGCCGAGGTTGTCGAGATTAGTCTACGTTAGCCTTTTAAAGTCGATATCTATTTGCTTCTAATCGTATCCCTAGCGGAGTCCTTTATTTAAGCGATCGATAAAGGGCTTCTTATCCGCCGATATAGCGTAGCTGCTTAATACGGTAGGAGCGGTATTCGACCGTATTAGTCGAGGCTTCGATACGGTAGTAGTCTCCTTCTTTAGCTTGCTAGTATACTGCACTTCGAGCTATTATATATGCTTTCGTATCTCCTTAGCTATGCCGAAGTTCTTCTCTATAACCTTCTACTACTACTTAGTTTCGTTAATAGAGTTAAGGAACATCTTCGCTAGCATTTGTCTATAATTAGGGTTACGCGAGTCGAAGGAGGTATATTAGGTATGCTCTTCCTATTTAGGCTAGTAGTTATTTATGCTCTAGTCTAGCTTTATCTTTATACCGAAGAACTTCTACTAGTAGATTTCCTTCTTGTACTAAGGACCGTAGTACTTATATAAGATCTTTAACAACTCCTCGGGTATCTTATACTCCTTCGCTCTGTTCTTAATCTTGCCTCGGGTAGGGGTAGTAGTATTGTTAATAGCTATAGTTAGGGCATGTTTATTGTCTATGTATATATAACGTTTATACTTAAAGTAATCTATCGACTTGTCGTACTATTCTTCGAAGGAGATCTTATCGGAGCTGTTACTATACTACACTAGTAGTAGCTTATATATAACCTTATTAGGAGGTCTGCTCCTACCTTTAGTAACTATAGGGCTACCTTCCCTACCGGTTCTTAAGGTAGCTTAAGGACCCTATCTAAGTTAAGGACCTAGTCTAGTAGCTAGTGCACTAGCTTTTAGGCTAGTAGGATAAAACAGACCTATAGGCTAAGACCTATAGGATAAATAGAAAGGGCGCTAGCCTAGTTCCGGTCGAAGGAATAGCGCCTACTATAGTAGAGGTAGCTATTACGCTTATCGAGTCGGCTGCTATAGGTCGAGTAGCGGTAGTGCTTGCCGGGAAGGTAATAGTAAAAGTAGGACACTAAAAGGATTAGTATTGTTTAGGCGCGAACCGCGACGGTCGGCTAACTACTATCGTAGTATATATTAGTCTTCCTCGTCGTCTCCTAGTAGAGTCCTCGGACGTACTAGCTTTCGCGGAGTAGCTCCTAATCTATCGAAGAGCGGTAGAGGTCCTATAATACTACTCTATAGACAGCTGCGTAGTTTCGGTATACCTTAAATAGGTACGAAGTCGGTCGGAAAGTCGCTCTCGTAGGCTTCGGATATATCGTCCTAGTAGCTATAATAGATACTACTACTAGGTTACTCCGTAGCTGTCTTCCGCTATAGGTATAGCGTACGAGCGGCCTTTATACGTTCTTTAATCCTAGGAGTGCCGGATAGCACATCTGCCTTAACTATAGGTTCGTACTAATTAAGCCGGTTTTCTACTAAGGCTAGCTCTACTCCTAGGACCTCCTTTTCCTCCTTCTATTGTTCCTTTTCCTTCTTTAATTCCTTAACCCGCTTACGCTACTACTAGATAATCTGCTTACCGCTATCTACGGTTTAGCTTAAGGTAACCTTTGCTATAGCGAGTTCTTAAGCAAGCTTCTATTCTTTCTCTACTAAGCGCCGAAAGGCGGTCCTTAACTCTTCGTATTGTCCGTCGAGCTTAGTCTTGTCGTCGTATAGCTTATCGTACTAGGTATCGGCAGCGTATAGGGTGTCTAACTATTCCGTAGGCTACCTCTTAACCTTAGCGACTAGTTTATCGGCGTCTTTAACTTTAAAGTAAAATAGGCGATATCGACGAGCTTCGGTATTATCTAAAGTAGGCTAGTATAGGATGAAACTAGAGAAGTCTACCTTCCCTATCTATAGTCGACTCGCCTTATTAGGCGCCTCGGGCGTATCTTCCGCATAGGGATTTAGTAACGAAGGGTCTAACGGCGGATAAGCAGGCACCTAAGGTTTAATAGAGTTAGTTCTAGTATCGTTACCTTCGTTATCGTTATCGTTATCGTTATTACGGGGTAGTAGTAGATCGAACTCGTAACCGAGAGGCAGAGCGTCGAAATACTCTTAAAACTACGTATTGCGGCCTACTATCTATAACTGTAACTCGATCGGCTTCGGGGTCGGCTTTAATAGTAACTATAAAGTGCTCTCTTCCCCTACGTCTATACTACTACTAGCTTTAGAACCTAGAGTTAACTTCAAGCTTAAGTAGATTAATCGTTCTATAGCGCTTAGGCCTTTATAGAATAATATATGTATATTAGAAAGGAAGTATTTTATAGTAGAAAGTATAATACAGGTAGACTAATTCTTTTAGTAGATAGCGTAACCGCGCCTAGTACCGATTTCTAGCGCTTAGTGCGCTTGTTTAAAATTCTTCTTCTATCGTAGAACATAGTCCTCGCCGCATATACGGTGTCGTCTAATCGTGCCTGTCGCTTAGGGTGTTACAGAATATCGCGCTACTCTTCCTACATTACGGATTAACTATTTATCGAGGCTAGAACGGGGAGTGCCTATAGGAGGCTCTATCTTCCGTATAGAGCACTATATAGTCTAGTAGCTCGATCACTAGTATTGTAACTATAGCAAACGCGGTACAACCTATACGTCGAGTTCTCCTTCGTATCGAGGCGCTATTAGCGCTTTTCTAATATAATATAGCACATGCTCTTTCTTTTTATACTTCTTGCTAGCGGTAATACGCTCGGTAGTCGATATTCGGTAGGTTCTATAGGTCGTAGCGTATTCTAGGCGCTTATTCGAGACGTAACGATTACTAGGTTTCGTAAAATAGTAACAACCGATAGAATTATACTACGGCAATAATTACGATAATCTATTAGGGCAGGAATGAAGCGACAGACAGTTATAATACGGGCGAGAGGGCAGCGAGGTAGGTGTTACGTAATTAGATTGTTAAACTGTCTATAACGATCGAAGGAAGCGTAAAAGCTACGCTTCTATCTAGTCCGCGGTGCCTTAGGCAGCCTCGATAGCTAGTACTATAACACAGAACGACAATAAGCTTAATCTCGCTAGTTACTATAATGCCTTATAGGCTAACGATCCGGTTACTCGCCGCTCTATAGGCAGCTTCTACTTTATACTCGCTAGTAGACTATTGCTATATAAGTTAGGCCGCTAGACCTTAGTTACTCTATTGTCTATAGAGGCTAAGTATGTTTAGTTAACAACTAGCGCTAAGGAAGCTATTGCACTAGCTCGGTTGTTAGAGGAAATTAGTTATAAGGGCACTATTAAGCCTGTTACGCTATACGAGGATAATTAGTTAGTAATCGCTATTACTTAGTCGACGAGTGTCGATAGCCGTACTAAGTATATAGATACTAGAGTCTACTACATCCGCAAGAAGATCGCTAATAGCACTGTTGCTATTACCTAGATTAGTATATACGACTAGATCGCTAATAGCTTTACTAAGCCGCTTAATAAGCTTAAGTATAGTCGCTTTGTTTAGTAGTTAAACTTAGTAGATTATAAGGCTGCGATTAAGAGCGCCGCTTAGCCTACTACTAAGTACTAAATAGATAGTTTGCTAATAATACCCTAGGGGTAGTATTAGTCCTAGGTCGGCGATATATTATTTGTTTGTTTGTTTGTTTAATTAGCCTAAAAGTAGTCTAGACACCTAATACCCCTTTATTTGCCTTAGTAGTTTGCTTGTTTAGCTATATACACGCGATAAGGGGGTAACTTGGAGAGTGTATGTATATAGCTGGCTATCACGTGCATAATGCCTAAGGCTGCAACTGTGCACACTTCATCTTTGGGCTTTCTGTAGATTAGCCCTCTTCTGAATACATCACAGTTTACATCAAGTTTGAAGGATGAAGTAGCGCTTTTCACATTGCCAGATGTATAAGGCTATAGTCTAGTCTCGAGTCGCTCGTTCTACCAAAAATGGCCGAAACATCAAAGCAATTTCAAGTATTTGAGAGAGAAATCGTCGCAAATGCCGAGGATGCGAACAATCGAGAACATGAGCTGACTATCTGGCAAGCTAGCAAGCGCTATCCAAAGGCAGTCGGCTGGAGTATGGCCGAGTAGGCAGCATGTATTATGGACGGCTACGACTACCATGTCATCGGACTGCTGTTCGCTCAACCAGTTTTTCGCAAACGGTATGGCAAGCTCCAACCAGATGGCGACTATCAGATCTCTGCTGCATAGCAGTCCGGACTGAACAACGGGTCAGCGGTAGGCACGTTGACAGGCTTATTCCTCGCCGGCTATCTAACCGAGCGCTCTGGATTCCGCAAAACGATCATGTTCACTCTGGCTCTTATCACATGTCTGATATTCATCCAGTTCTTCGCAACAAGCTTGGTGGTTTTGGAGCTTGGCCAAATTTTGACAAGTCGGCCCACTTCTTCCGTACTGCGTCGTTCTTCCGAATTCTCATCAAGAGTAGGGATACCACTTGCGATCTTTCAGACAGTCACCTGGCCTGAACATCTCTGAAGTGGTTTCTGATGCCTCACTTTGGGCGTCATGCATTATTTCTGTTCGGAGTATGTACAGTCACGGCCATAGACTTCACGATCGGCGGACTTGGGGTTCCTCATGGCAGACCGCCTCTGACTTGGACAGTCGCATCTCTGCTGGTCATCAACGGCTTCATCTGTTACACACGCATGATTCCAATCATCTTTGTGCTGGTGGCAGAAGTGCCGTCAACCCTGCTTCGAAGCAAGACCATACCGATTGGCCGCATTGTATACAATGTATTCAATGTCGCTGCCAACATTCTGACATTATACCAGATCAACAAGTCGGCTTGGGGCTGGGGAGCGAAATCAGGCTTCCTTTAGGCAGTGTCCGCGACTATAGGCGTGGTATTGACATAGTACGTGCTGCCAGAGACGAAGGACCGGACGGCTGTGGAGTTGGACTTGCTGTTTGAGAAGAAGACGGCGGCGGGGGATTTCGCGGAGACTGAGGTAACTCGCGGAGACTGAGTTAATACTGCATGATCGAATTTGACATCAACCTCCAAGCCAACGGATTTTTGGGATTGACGGTGCCAGAATCTCCGCTGCTGCGGTATGATGTCTGGGGGTGTGGGCTGAACTACCACTTTTCATTCATTGTGGCCGTCAAACGCAAGGCACACTGTATCTGGTCGAGGTCATTATCAAAAACAACAACGAAGAGAAACAATTGCACATGGACTCAAATTCTTATCAAGGTTTTCGTCCAGTGAATTTTTGGATCAGGCTTCGACGTCCTTCGCGACGTTTGCAAGACGAAGCTTCGCAGGCTCTGCAGCCAGGTCGAATGTTTGAGACGCAGGAACGCGCAGATTCGATAGGAACCTTTATCGTCTGGCGACCGCTCTAGCCTCTCGAGTCCTTCCCAGGTTTGAGATTGATATGCACGTATTAGTATGTAGCAAAGGGGGTTGCGCGTTTATTAGCCGAAGCGTTATGTCCCTATAGATCGAATATCGTTAAGTAGGAGAGAAGTGGCCTGCCTTAGCAATGCGTAAAGTAGCGATAGTATACTCTTTCGTTAGCGCCGCAGATCGAGTCGCTTCTAGCTATTTCTAGCAGGTATCAATCTGCTAAGAGTTAGCAGTAATTAATAAGGTAAAAAGAACCAAAGCAAGTAATACTACTAGTAGCTGCCTTATTATAACTAGAACTGCTATTGTTTTTTACACAAGACGATTAAGCGAGATAGCGGAAGGGGATAATCCCCAAAAACGGGATCTAACTAGTTAAAGCTAGCGCACTGCCTAAAGGAATTATCCGTACCTTTAAAAGGTTTACGTCTAACGTTTTCAAGCTAGCTGCCGTTTACGGGGATTACCCCCGTCCGCTATCTCGCTTAATCAGGGTGTATTATTCCAGCCCGATCACCGCCTAGGATTCCCTAACCAACACACCGCGCTTCACGCGCAACGCGGCAGCTTGTCGACGCTGACAGCTCGCCATGTTGTTGTTGTCTGACAGCACTCCCATGTCCACCCTCGGTACCAAACGGCACCGCACCGCACACCAGCAGACTTTTTTTTCTCCGCACGCCATGTTCATGACTCAGCCATTACCACAAACGGTATCTTGTGATCTCCGTTTTCTTCACGGGAAGAGACCTTCCAGGGTCGAGGGTGCGCTGCGCGAGATGAGAAGCAATGAAGTTTATCAGCAGCAGCAGCATCATCATCATCATCATCATCATCATCATCATCATCATCATCAGCATTCATCAAACAAGGGAAAATACGATGCTCTAGCGCACTGCACCGGCCAACCACCACGACGGAGTCGGGACCGGATCTTGGTCCAGGCTGGACAGGTAGTGCCTGGGCCTTGATGACGGTTCCCCTGCTCGATTTCTTTTCTTCTTCTCTATCTCCACGGCGTCTGCGTCTGAACTCGATGATAGGTAGACAAAATGCAGATTGTTCTTCAATTGGGTAGAACTAGAGATCCATCCCTACTATTCCAGTCAGAAAAAACAGTACACAGCCTTCCGAAGTGTTCATCAGACAAGCAGGGCAAGGAACAAGACCAAAAAAACAAGCATCCACCACATTCCTCGCAGCCCAATTCCTCGGAGACGGGAAGTAGTGAGGTTTTTTTTTAACCAACAACCGAACCGGAAGAAATCGATTCGATAGCTTGTTGTTTCTATCATCATTATCAAGTTGTTGCCAACCAGATCGGGGTACAAGCCTGTACTTTCCCGAAACACTCAACCCTTGTAGATAATTGAACGTCCGTCCGCGAAACTTTAGGACCAAGTCTTGATTTATATTTGAAAAAGAGGGATGACACGGCACGCAAGCAGGCCTTGCATTTCGTGAAGCAAGGAAGGAGAATAATAATGAGAGAAAGAGGAGAGGAAGATTTTTTTTCATTTCACCCAGGAGATTGTATAGTCGTTAGTCTCAAACGATCAAGCCTCTAATAAATGAGAAGAAGCTGCCCAAAAGTGCGGGAGGGAGGGAAGGGAGGGAAGGGAAGGGAGCAAAAAGAGAAAAGAAGGGGTCTAGATCGAAGCAAGTACAAAATTTGTTTGCTCGGGTCCCGAAGACAGCTGCGGTGCCCAACGGGGAAACAAACAAGCAAGCAAAAAGGACAGCGAACGCGAACACGTCGCACAGGTCCACGCTTTTGGATAGTATTATCTACAGTACATCTTGTCCTGCCGCAAAATGTCGTCATAATGCAAAACCCGGCGCGCGCCATTTTTGGACCAGCCAGAAAATGATGGTTGCCCTCTCTGGTGAATACAGCAAACAGCAGTATTCTCTTTCCCATGTTTCATCCTTTTCGCCTTGTAAATGCTATGATTAATAAAAAACCAGTCGTCCCTTCATGCTCGTCGCCGGCCATCAAATGCATACAGAAAGCCGCCCCCAATAGTAGTAGTGGTATCTTGTAGTAGTAGTAAAGAAAAGCGCGTAGCAGTAGCAGTAGAGTGTGCGCGGCCGGATTAGCGCGCCCGTAATAAGCAAAAGTTGATGTTGGTGCATGGCGTGAGCCAGATCGTGTAGTAGAACTCCATTATTGGCCGCGGTGGATGCCAAGGAAAAAAAGGCGATCAATTGATTATCAGCTATAATCGTCATGAGTCGCGAAAAAAATCTCCCAGGCTGTCGGGGTGCTATCGTTCTCTTGCAGCAGAAGCCGATGCAGAAGATTCTGCCCCGGCAGTAGCGCTCTCGGGGTCCAAGAGGCTGAGGCAGCGGAGCAGCACTACAGCATACGTTAGCTATAAAAGCGAGTCGATCATATGTGGCCTTGAACACTCACGATCCATGATCTCTTCCTCTGCCACGCCCATTTGGTAATCGACCAGACCGTGTTTTTCAATGCTGTCGCAAAGCCTGACAAGCTCACGCGACAGATGCTCCAATACCTGCTGGCTCATGATACTGGGTGAATCACGACCGCCACCCGATCGTATCCATTCTTGGGTCACGTCGAACTGCTTTTGCAATGTAGCGAGCCAAGCTCGATTGAACTCGTCCCAGAGACGAATGCGCTCATCGTGCAGGTTATCGTCATCTCTGGTAAGTCCTGCACCTAAGCATCAGCTCAGCTTGGAAGTACTTATATTGGCGCTCATGCTCACCTAGAGCTTCTGCGTTGCCCAGGAGATAGTGCGAAACCTCGAGCAAGTGCCCGCCGAGGTCTCGCAACGTCCCTTCCCGCACGTTCGAAAAAATGGTGCGAATATTATGCTGGTAGTTGCTGAAGGCCTGATCGACCGACGTCGATGAATTTGGCGCATACTGCGTGGCAGCCGTGGTGTACGAATACGCGCCTGGTTGTGTAGGATCGAGCATCGCTGCGCTGGCGTAAGTCGATGAAGGTCCAGCTTCGGCGTAAGCAGATTGCGGGTATTGAGAGGGCAAGTGCGGTGCTGCCAGTTCGGGCGCCGTCGCGCTCGGTAGCGACTGTCCTGCAAGGTAGTACTGTGCGGCGGTTTGCGCAACCCCGAATTGGGAAGCCAGTGTCTCGGAAGCTGTGCCGGGTCTTTGGGAGTAGCGTGATACCTGCTCGTAAGGTGACTGCGTCGCCGACTGTGCTGACTGCGACATGCCATACATAACGTTGGATCCATACTGCGAGTACTGCTGAGTGTCCTGCGACCGCGGATCTGCCGGGCTCTGCAAGTCGGTCGCGTACTGCATCGTTTGTGCAGCTGCAGATGCTGCAGGACCATACTGGGAGCTTTGCGCAAAGCCATACACCTGCGCATCGCTGCTTGCTCTTCCTGTTGACGGTACTGTGGTGGGCGACTGTTGCATATATGTCGATTGTCGGAAACGTTCGACAGATCCGCCGGGAGTTGCGTACTGGCTGCCAGACTGGCCGCTGCTCTGCGATTGCTGGGGTGCATAGGCACCTTGTTGCGCGTACTGCCGTCGTGATGGATCATTGTAGTCCATCACAGAATCGACGCGATCCCCAAACGCTGGCTGCCCTTTCCTCGACGACGCCAACGGCGAGAAAGGCGGTGATGCATATACAGACGTCGCCAGCTTTGCGGTTGAGGTGTGGTGCTATATGCGGTCCGGTGTAAGGCGATGATCGGAGGGAAATTGGATCCCGACGGCGCCCAAGTGTCGAGGTGTTTATGAGTGCCCGGACTTGGTCAATGTGGTCGCCAATGTTGGCTTAGCGGAACAAGAAAAGAGGCTGAATATTAAGTCCTTGGATGGAATGCCTGTATCCCGGTGATGCCCAAGAATACTAGGCTGACAGATTATTAAGCGCTCAGACGATCCAGTGCAGTGCAGCGAGCACGCAGATGAGATACCAGCAGTTCGGCACGGTCGGGATGATTGCACCTGGGCCGCGAGCGAGAGAGCAAAACGAGCGTGGTGGCAGTGGCAGCAGCAGCAGCGCAGCCTTTGAAGGAACGACGAAACGTGACAGGTGTGTAGCGAGATTTGAAGGCCAAAGGAACGGCAATGCGCACAAAACAGACAATGCACCCACGGTTGGGTAGCCAAAGTGTAGTCTCGATATGTGAGCAGGGCCGGTCGTAGCGCGGGGTTGATGAAGCCTCTGCTGTCAGGCCTCTGAATCGCCAAACCGTGTCGAGACGGGACAAGGAAGCACTGCCGAGCGCAGCGCCAGGCCCTTGCTCGCGAATAGAATTCGGAAACGCAAGGCGTGAAACTGCGAGGCAAGAGTCTGCCAGATTATGAGATTATGGGCGGGGCTGGAGGTGTCACAGCCCGGTCGGCTTTGATCAGATCCAAGTATATCAACCCACAAAGTAAATTCGAGGTAGCTCTAGCACACCCTGTGGGTTCTATATGCCCCTGCAGAGTGCCCTGAAACCACCGAAATTAGTGTACAAATCGGGGTATTGCAAATACCCCTTATACAACCCAATTACCTCGGATTTCTACCGTTCCGAATAGCCGTAATCGCTCGAAAACGACTAAGTCTACGCCTATACCTTAGCACTACCACTTCTACCGCTTAGAAGCGACAACCTCTCCTTAGATCCGTCGTTTTAGTAGTCTAATTAGTGTAGGAGATAGCGTACGAGAGGATTGATCTATCCGGTACGGTTTAGGTAGTATACCTGCGTATAACCTTCTACGAGCGCGTTTCGAAGGTATTATAAGCTTACTAATTAAAGGCTTCTAACGACGAGGTTTATAAGAGCTACCTAATAGCTACAGTAGATCAATTGAAGTGTCCTTACCTAGCGACTATATAGGTAAAGAATATAGAGCTATAGATAGTGCTATAGAAGGTAGTAGCTTTACTATAGAAGGTAGCTCTACTATAGAAGGTAGTAGCTCTACTATAGAAGGTAGCTCTACTATAGAAGGTAATAGCTCTACTATAGAAGGTAGCTCTACTATAGAAGGTAGTAGCTCTACTATAGAAGGTAGCTCTACTATAGAAGGTAGCTCTACTATAGAAGGTAGAAACAGCTTACTTAGTAAGGGCAAATCGTCTAGTAAGGACGACAGCAACGGCCATTAATGCCTTAATACCTCGTCGTTATCGTATTGATCACTTTTGCTAGCGTCCTTTAGCAAAGATAGCGGCAATCGACTAATTAGCATTAATTGTAGAAGAAGGTCTATATCTAAGAGCCTATTAAATAGGTCCTTATTAACCTCGTATAGTACGTCTTCATCTTTAGCCTAAGCAACAACGCCGTTGCTATTAGGTAGACTATAGACTAGTAGAGCGTAGCCTTCGATAATAAGGCGAGGCCGATATAGAAGGTTAGTTATAGAAGCGATAGGTGCTAGTAGTAGTAGTAATAGAGCTAGAGCTGTATAGAAGACTAGTTACCGCAACGGCTTATCGTTAATAACTCGCTACTTTGCAGTACGACGAGGTATCAATTCAGCCTACGGAGCACTATTCTTAAACTACTAGTCTATCTAAGCGACTCGCGAGTCGTAGCTAAGTGCTACAAAGTTAGTAACCTACTATAGAAGGGCCTTATATTGCTAACCGTCGGTAAGGTTAGAAGCCTACGAGTCGTAGAACCGGAAGAAGGCCTATAAGACTACTTCTTATATAAAATAGAAGTATTCCTTTACCTAGCGCTTCCGAGACACTCCTAGTACCTTGTTAACGTAGAAGACCTATACTAACTGCTCGTCTTTAATAATAAGCTTTATATTAAGCTAGTCGGAGTAGACAAGGTTACTATTTAGACCTTAGAAGCGACTAATATAGAGGCTATAACGGTATAGTGTAAGGCGACTAATTGCTTCCTTGTGAAAGCGCTAAATATGCTTATAAGGAAGGTGATAGCTGTGCTAGAAGTAATAGAAGCACTTAGTGTATATATTGTCGTCCGTAGCCGGCAGAGCTATTCGCTAAGCAGGCTTGTTATTGTCTATATCCTTATAGCACTGTATAAGCTCATCCGCCATTTTCTTCTATATAGAAAGAGGTAACCGTCGAAATTTAGAAGTCTTCTCTTAACGCTATATTAGAAGCTAGCTATTCTTATCGACAACGCTATTTTGACGGACGCGCTCGCGGATATAGTTATTAAGCTAAACGAGGTGCAGGACGGTACCTAGAATAGTTAGTTGTTATTATATAGAAGTGATAAGAAGCCGTAGAAGTCTGAGAATGATACTGAAGGCCGAAAGCTAGCCTATTCTAAAGAATCCGCCCGTTCTAAGGAATATAGCAGGACTCTATTCTTATAGAATTCCGATAGTAATAGAAGAAGGGGAAGAATACGCACCTCGCAAGCTCTATTTGCGTATCTAACGCTTGTCTCGGTACTTCAAGTGTGTATAATAGCCCTCTAATGGACTAGTAGTGCGAACGGCTATTAAAATCGGGTCTCCGAGCCTTACCTAAGTCGCCTAGCGATCGCTATCGGAGGCCTTCTAATTAGCCTTCAAATAGGCCAATTCTTTACTCGATTTAGCCGTATTATAGGTGTTAAAGGCGGCTATTGCTTAGTCAATAAAGTATTAGCATTCTTCTTAGTCTCGAGCGATAAACAGAGCCTTGCTTATTGCCTTTAAAACAGGTAGAAAGCGCTTGAAGTGCTTCTCGAGGGTCTTAACAAGGTGCCGTTAGCAGAGGCGTTGAATAATACCACAATCTACAAGACCGTAACTAACTCCGAGCTGTTCACTTGCTAAGTCGTTAGTTATTGACTATAGTAGTATCTAGGAAGATTGCTTAGTATAGTTAAAGTCGTCTTAGTCTTTGGCTTTAGAAGAATAGCGGTTAGCCTAGTTAAAGAAGAAGTACTTCCTATAGCTATTAAAACCGGTTATCTAGTGTTTATAGTCTAATTTGGCTATTTCTCGAAGGCTCGAGATTGCCTTCTTAATTAGGTGTGCTTGCTCGCAATTTATAAGGAAGTGAGCCGCTAGAAGCTACTCTAGGTAGTTATTGCGGACGTATATAGTTAAGAGAGGCTATTTAAGCCTATTAGTAAGGTATATAGAATCCAGCAAGAACAAGGACCTATAGTTGCGAAGGGCTCGAAGTTGCTAGTTTGCCGCCTAAATTAGGCCTCTATAGACGAGTCTATCGCTTCTACGAGATTCAATTATCTCTATAAAGCCACTTCTACTACTGAATTTCGCAGACAAGTACTAATAAGCCTACTGTAACTGCTCCTCGATAGCTAGTTTAGTACCTTGTCTTCGCTTATTACTTAGTCGCTTTAGACCTTCTCGATTAGCGCTAGAAACGCGGTCTCGAGTAATGCTAACCGCACTAGCATTATACTAAATTTGCCTCTGTTTAGGCCTTCGCATTTCTTTAACCAACTAAGCGACTAACGTTAAGCTACCTCGAGAAGCGATTAGGTCCTTCTACACCGCCTTTACGCTATCGTTAGTTTGTAAAGAATCGACGAATTCGAGACTATACGAGTAGCGGTTAGTAAGCGGCTTTAACACTACATAGACTAGCCTTATAACCGTCAAATTCGTACTTAGAGTCGAAGGTAGCGCGGCCGGTACGCAGTTATCGAGAAACTCGCCTATTTCGCGATTCGGTCGCTTCTCGTAGACCTTAATAATTACTAACTTCGCGTAATAGTCGTGTATATACATCGTACGCGCTACGCGCTATCGCTAAGGCCGTTTGCGCTTAAAAACAACCTCTCTGCTATCTACGCGATTATAGTCTATATAGCGCTTATAGATACGATACTCGAAGCCGAGTCGGCGATATAACCGACCTTGCGAGTCCTTTAATAGCTTATTTAGTCGATTCTTATAATACTACATATTAGTTACGAAATGGCGGTATTCGTCGTATTCGAAGCCTTCTATCCGCAGACCCTCGTACGCCTAAATACTACTCAACTCGGCTATAGGAGGGTAGAAGAATAGGCGCCTTCGGTTATATATATTTAGTAGAAATGGGCTCTTGAACTATACACTAACTCAGCGCTATTCTCGACCTTACCGACCTTACCGACCTTATACGTACCGGCCGCTCTACCTCTAGCTTAGTAAGCAACGCTTCTATATCCTTAAGAGGCAGGTATTTCTTATATATCGTAAAGAGCGTAGAATTTAGCGACAGTAAGGTCGAAATAAGCGCGATACGTAACCGCGAGGAAGAGATAGAACAGGTCGATAAACAAGAGGTAGAAATGGCCTCTAAATAAGGTCTAGTTTAGCTTCATCGTTACTCCTCATTTACAGGCCTATACCATACGATTATAAGGCTTCAAATTGGCTCGAAATTGGACCTCTTAGCGGTCCATATATAGCCTATAAACAACCATAGAAGTGGTCAAGCGGCCTTACAAACCTAGCCGCCGTAGCGGCGCGATCTACACCCTTGTATAGGTTGATATACTTACACCTGCTTTGATCGAGGGTAAAAGTGAGGCTCGAGGATTGATGGAGGTCAGCGTCAGTGACAGCGCCACTCGACGATGCCCCCGTACTTGATTATGGTGTGCGTGCAGTGGGAGCGGGAGCAGGAGAGTAACGTGAGGACAGACGGCCCACGCAGAGGCGAGGTCAGGCGTGGTCTTCACACCATTCTCACGGCATGGTGCAGCCGGCGTCTTTTGATGAGGGCGGCCAAGTCAGCGGGCTATTCTTGTGGGAGCCGCGAAAAGGAGGCGTCTCCGTACAGCGCGCGTGAAGTGCCGTTGCGAAGTCATCATCGAAGCCAGTCAGTACTCAGTCGTCGTGACCTGGCTCCGTGCTCCGTGGCATGGCATGGCATGGCCTAGCCTAGCCTAGGCGCAGAGGCAAAGCAGAGGCACGCCCACGCAACGCACAGCGCCCGCCAACGCGCACAAGATCGCCGTCGCCGTTTGTGGCAGGCCAACCTTCAAGAATCAGGTAGGGATCATAACGCAAGAGAGGCGCAAGCTAGAGCGCGGCCGTTATTGGTCGGAGGGGTAGTGCTTCTTGCAAACAAAGTCTCTGCAGGCTCTGCGTGGAGTGTAGCAGCGCTGCGCTGCGCTGGAGCCAGCAAATAGAATTCGTTTGACGACGGATATCGGATATCGCGGCGTGGTGCCAAAGCCATTATTCCCACATTCGCAATCACTTCAATGCCTGTCTGCCTGCCTGTCTGCACTTGGGCCACCAGACTGGCCGATGGCGCGCCAAAGGGGCATGGGCATGGGCTCTGCCAACTCTGCCGGCTTCCAGCTTCCAGCGGTCTGATGGACGTCTACCCGCGATGGGCTGTGCCGTCCGAGGTCGATATCACACTTTCCGAGCCAGCGAAGCAGAGCACTGCTTTGCTTCGCGAGCGCCGGCCGCATCGCTCTCCTCATGGCCAGCCAGCGTAGCATCCGTTGCCGTCGTAGCATCGGCGGGCTCAAACAGACATGCGAACATGCTGCTTGCAATGACGAAAGTAAGGGATCTGCGGAGAGTTTGGGTACCTGCAGGTGCCATACTTCTATATCCCGGCCAACAAACTCCGACTGGTCATCTTCTATGCCGCGCAGCGCCTTGCAGTCACAGGATGTCAGCCCAAACGCGCCGGCAGTGTCGCACGGCCTTCTTCGACTGTGGCATGAGCATTGTTGATGAAACCCGGAACACACGATAGTAAGCCATCTCATGCGTGAACTTCGCGGCCAACACAATGCTGTCGTATATGTGTGTGAATGCCTCAGCCACGTGAGGTCTGAAACATGCCGCATCCGTACGAAACCGTTGCGTTGCCCGGCTCAACCTTCATCTCGGATCTTGGAAAAGTGTGCATGCATGCATGCATGCATGCATACATGCATGAGAAGCGCACAAGTCATCAGACGCGCTTGTGTCACACCGGCAGCGACGACATTAGTAGCATGTAGTAGTAGTAGTAGTAGTAGTAGCCATATCAAACGCACCAACGCTGCCACATCGCCCCCCGAATCGTACAATTCCCGCATGCAGCGGCGGCGGATGAATGTCCTTGACAAGCTGCGAAGGTGTTTGATTCTTGATATGATAAACAATACGAGTGTAGTGTACGCTAGCCGCAGAACGTTGCGATACGCTTTGTGTTAGTTAGCGGGGTCTTTCGCAAATGATCGACGTGCACCTCCAGTCCTCCACTCGGCTGTCGGTTTATTTAGTATCGATAGGTGCAGCGGCACCCTGTCGCCCAAGCAGGAAAAAAAGGCACGCCAGTGACACGTTCACATCTCAGCTGGGCAGCACAGCATACCGTCGGGCATGCATGATTTTATGACGAGACCAACAACGAAGCCCGAGCATATCCATGGAGCGCCGCAAAACTCGCGAATTTTACTAACGCCCATCCGCCGATTCTGCTGCACGCGCGACCGACGGACATCTGCGGCCCACTTTCCAAACAGACGCCTGCTTCCAGAAGCCCGGTTAGGAGAACAAATAATGTTGCCTGGGATTGGCTCAGGCAAGGCAAGATAATCTGACAACATCGCAGTCAGCCATACTGTACCCTCGCTCGCCCTTTTCCAAGACATTTACTACATCCACCTCCGCTTGCACCGACACACTTGCCATTATTCTTGTCACCACGGGTTTCACGTCTCAGAGACTCAGACTCGGCCTGGTCGATCCTGCCGCGACATGTGTCCACCGGCAAACCCTATAATACACGTTTTATCGATCGACTCGCGCCCAACGTTTCTGCAGGGTTAGATGGGCACCCTTGACATCAGCTCGTGAATCTTCTTTCCCTTGTTGACCTGCTGCTGACATGATGCGCACCACTGACCACTCCTTGAAATTTTCTGGGCGCTATTGCCATCAATATCAGAAACGTTTTACTTGTTTTGTTCTATATCCATGACTCGTGCGGGACCACGATATCCTTCTCCCGACACGTCGCTCCGTTTTCCTCAACGCCATCATTGCAAACCAGCTCAAAGCTTTTTGCATCCCGCCATCGTGGAGGATGTCTGGGTATCATATCACGCGACCAACGCTGCAGTTGTTGAAACATGGTGTTGAACCAAAAAGGAGAAGGCTGCGCTCACTTCGAAGCGACGTAGGCCTTCTTCGGGAATGGATACCTGCAACTTCCTGTCAGCGGAACCCGCGGCTGCAGAATTTAGTGACGCCAACAACTTACGAAGGTCCCAGCTCCCGCAGACTCTGCGCTGCCAGCCATGCGCCCATGTCGACGCAAGTCTCGATGCTTTCGCCCTTTACCATGCCAGCGAAAAATCCGCCGGCAAATGCATCACCAGCACCCGTGGTGTCGACAATCTCGTCCTTGCCGATAGTGTGCACGGGGAACGACTTGACCTGGTCCTCACCCTGCACAGCGACCACAGTCGGCTCCGTGCCCTGGGTAATGATGGCAACTCGCTTTCGCTGCGTGTTCTTCTTTGGCAGGTTGGCCAAAGCCTTGGCAATAGCCGGGATGTCATGTGTATTGAGATCGTGCGAGTCAGCGTACGAGATAGCCTCCGTCTCATTGCCAATCACATAGTCCCAGTACTGTGCAGTCTGATCAAGCGGTTCCTTGAAGAACTGCGGGATGAACGGTGCAGAGAGCGACAGGATGAACGGCTTGAGGTTGGTGTCAGCATGTCAACATCCCAGAGCCGATCAACAACATCGTCTTACCTTGTTGTTTTTCGCAGCTTCTTCGGCCAGAGCCAAAACAGCCGGCACGCACACTGTGAGATGGTATCCACCGACAAAGTAAGCCTTCGCTTTCTCCACGATGCCCCAGTTCTCCTTCAAGTGTTCAATCTTGTACGCATTTGCTGCAGCGAGATCGGTGCACATGCTTCGGTTGTGACCTGTGATAATGACACCGCATCGGCCAGTTGGCTCCTTGTCGTCATAGCGGTATTGGACTGCCAACCCGGCTTCCTTGTTTGCCTTCATCAAGATGTCGGCATACTTGTCCTTTCCGACGCAGCCGAAGAAGACTACTTGGTCAGGAGGGAGTAGATACTAGCAAAAAGAATCGCCGTCAGCCTTACATGTCGAGCCGTGCGGTATATCAATCTCAACGAGGGATGCTTGGGATGTCAAGAGCCCGCGCACCGCCGTGATGCATGTCACGCATCAAGCAATATCGAAGCACATTGCATCAAGGCAATACGCCACGGCCATCAATGACACACGTTTGCATCGCACGCAAAATGTGACGGGATAACCCAAGTATCCACCTGCAAACTCATGCCAACTCTTTCGCGACAGAACTTAATTGCCTCTGTGGACCAAGCAACCTTGTGACAATGAATTACGTGCTCTTTTTGCGTATGCGTGATTGCGGGCTCTTGTTCCTCGAAGCAGAGCACACGGGACCGACGTACCTGTGCTCCTCTGGCTGTGTTCTGGGCGGCACCACCAGCCAGCAGCTTGGCCTCACGGTTGTTGAGGAGCTCTTCGTAGAGCGACTTGTGCTTGTCTTCGGCAAGGATGGCATCATTGGCCTTGAGTCCGTATTGGTTCAGGAGTGCTTCATCTCTGTGGCGAAGGAATATACGTCAGCAACACGTTTCTCAATGATGTTTTCAATTTTGTCGAAGCGAGCACAATGTACGCTTCCTTGCCAAAGACCTACCCTTGAGCCTGGATGTCGAGAAGCGGGTTCTCCAGGCAAAGAAGCTCATATGAATGATTGGACGACATGGTGAAGGTAATATGAAGTTCAATGGCAATCGAGATGAGATGGTGTTTGTAAAATTGAGACTTCTCAGCAAGGGATTCGATCTGAATTGTGCCCCTCTCTCATCCCACTTCGGTTGCCGATCCCTGCAACTTGCAATGGCCCACAAACATCATCCCTCAACTCAACTCTTCTTCAGCATTGCCGAAGTCTTTCACCAAGTCGCGCAACGCCGTTGCACAATTTGCACAGGAACACCGGTATCTGGATTCTCGTGCTGTGTGGTGCCATCAATTGCTAAAGAGAGAACAACGTCAACATTGAAAAGATCTCGACTTGCCTGTATCAATGTGCTCCTACTGGATTGGAAGTGAGTTAGAAGGCGAAGGATGTGTTTAGCTAGCCAGTCGATACTGCTTCCACAGCATAAATACGACTGAGCAAGCTCAACGAACAGAATTCGAAACACAGGCGACGATGACGAGGGTAACGCGCACAGTCGAATAGAAAAAGTCATAGCACTTGATGTTAGCATAGGCGTCAGTCTACCCAGCGCGTTAATGTATAGCAAAGCTTTGGATGATATATATGACAGGAAGGTGAGGGGAATTCAAAGACGTGCCTCTGCATGCGAGGCAGGAATCGAAATGTTTCTCAATGTTCATTCATATCTGTAATACGGAAGCCTCACACCTGGTGAGAATTTCTGCTACCGAAATGCCCAAGGGTATCGAACTCCGCCAAATGCTAAAACGCCGAGATCGATGAAACGCTTGGTAAAGAATGCAACACCAGAAATTATGCAGGTGTTCCATGCTGTGCTGGGTTCCTCACAACGCGATGAGATCCACATTGCTGAAATCAGGTGGACTGCGTCTGAAGACTACACGACCCTTTCCATCCAAAGCCGTGCCCTCGTTACTCATCCAAATATTTGTTCGGTTTTGCCCGTCGATGCTCACTGTACTCATCTTCTTGGCTCTCTTGATCTCGTCATCGCTTACACCAAGTTGATCGCGAGGGATCCATACGACCGGACGCCGAGCACGAAGCGCGCTGTGCTGGAAGGCATAACGAACCAACAAATCGCGCTCGTCTGGCGTCAAATCTTCGAGCTCATCTGCGTAACCGGAGAAGAGCACATCTCCAACCGTGTGTTGAGCTTCTGCATCTGTCTTCTTCTCATTCACACGCTTGCCGTCAGCGAGGTAACGAAGGCGAGCAACTGCCTCCGGCGCCGCTTTCTTCCACAACTCAGTTCCCCAGACAGGCTTGGCCTCTGACTTCTTAGCCCAGTGGCTACCTGGCCTTGCAGAATGAGCTGATCCAGATGTGCGTCGTGCATCTGGAGAGTGTGTGGAGCCAGGTGTGTGGCTCCTCCTTTGGGCAATGGCACGCTTCTCCTCATCTATGGCGGCACGATCTGCATCTTCTTCAGCGTGTTCACGATCCTCGAGCATATCCTGTACGTCTCGTTCGTCGTTACCACTTTCGTTGAGTGGCGCAAATTTGCTTTCTTGTGCCTTTGCGAACTGCTCATCTCTGATTACTGCTTCATCTTCCAATGTGATCGGCAGGTATTGGAATAGTGGCTTGAATGACATATTCGTTAACCATTGGAAAACCACGGTGAGCACCAGCATGACAATCATGATGATTGCTTGTGGCAAGCACACGACTTCTCCCTTGTATTGCAAAGTGAAGAAGTATCCGATCATGGCGATTTCCAGGAAATAAATGCCGGTGAATAGCTGATTGATGGCCACTGGAAAGAGCAGACCGCCTGTATCATGCTTGAATTGGTAGACAAACAACACGTTGTAGCGGTAAACAATCCAGAACAGTGCGAAGATGAAGATCATGAACACCAGGATAAGGGGTGATACTATTGAGTAGATGATGCCAATGACCGCAAAGTTGGTGAAAGGTGGGAAGAAGGTACCCCACGTAACGTACTGGAGGCTGGTCTGTCTCGTCCATTTCTGTCGTGCAGTCGAATCCAGAATTGGAGCAAGTATGAACCACCCGAAGAGGCTGCCAAGTTGCAGGAGAGCACTTGCTGAGTTGGAAAGTGCCTGGACAGTAAGATATGAGAAGAAGTAGTTGGATGCCGTTGGGATGTTGCTGGCCACTTCTGTAACAATGCTGGTAGGATTGTCCGCAAGAGCTTGAAAGATTGCGATCAGGCCTCCGGAAATGGTGACGACCAAGAACACCTGAATGAACAAGAATGCGAAGTACCAACTCTGGACCCCTCGCTCTCTATCGTTGCCGGTGGGCACTCCCTGTTGCTTGATCAAGAGACGGAAGATGATCGGGACAAGCAACAGAATCAGACTCAGCAGAACTGGTGGCAGGACACCCTGAATGATAGAGATAACAACGTCCGGAAGTGTGGTGAGCCATTCCAGCCAAGAGATGTATGAAGCAAGTTGGCTAACCTTGTTGAGCAAAGAGGTAAAGGCGACGGGAATGGCGAAGAGCAAAATGAGGCCGGCGGAAATCAGCAAGATCAAGCCAGTTCGCAAGTAGCGTTCCCACCACTTCACAGACATATTGTCCCAGATCACATCTTCAGGGCTAATCTCGACGAGCCGGGGCGCCATGTGCTGGGGAATGTGATGACTGAGAGACTGACAGCACATGTGTGCAGCCACCTGGTGATTGAACTGGATGAATGCAGAGTTCATGTACGGAAACTTCTCGATGTCCTTCTGATCCTCTTCGATTTCCAGATTCAGGCGTGCCAGCTCCCGTCGAAGATGGTAGATGCGATCTACTTTTTTGCCTATTAGTGGAATGCTAGGGAACCAAGTTGGGCAAAAAAGCGGTAGTCGGATGGTTTCACGGTCTTTTGGCTCCAGATACCTCCTCCAGTACGGTTCTTCGTCTTGGTCTTCGTCCCATTTCTTGTCGATGGCATTGGGGTATTCGTCTTTGTCTTCGTCCTCTTCATCATTATTCTTCTTCCAGAAAGCGAGCTTCTGCATGAAGCTCTTGGACTTCTGCTTGTCTTTGGCTTCGGGCTCTTTTTGCTCTGCATCACCGTGAAGTGGGAACTCGTCATCATCCTCGGCTGTGTGAGGTTGTGGAGAGTGCATTGCCAGGGATTCGTCGTTGTTCTTGAAGATGTTCCATGACTTTCGATTGCCTTTATGATGTGCAGGCTCTTCGATTTGCAAGCTGGACTTGGGCCTTGTATCTCCCGCGGGACGTGTCGTGTGAACGTCGCGCACGTCTAGCGTCCTATCACTATCATGCGATTCCCCATCAACAGGGTTCGGCAAGGCTGCAAAGGGATGCCTAGTCGTTCGCGGTTTCGTATCGCCCGTTAATGGCTGCTCTGCGCCATCTTCTCTATTACGGTGCATCGCATCGAGCTTTGTCCGTGCTTCCTGGAGTGGTGCTTTCTTCGCCCCCGCGTCATTAGTCGACGTGGTTCGATACAGATCATCGTCAAGAGAGAATCCACCACCAGCATTGGCGCGGCGTGTAGCGATGTTTAAGTCATCTCCAGCCTTGTGGAAGCCATTATCGACACCGCCGACGACTCTATCGCCGAATTTGCTAATGCCTTTGCCGACGTCCTTAAAGCCATGGCCAACGGCATTGACGCTATCTCCGACAAGACCCAATGGATTCCGCCTGCGTTTGTCAGAGTCCGCTTGGTGTTGCTCTTCCTCCTTCAGTGTGTCCTTCAGATCTTGAGAGAGCTCGTGGTTTTCTCCAGCACTGACACCTTCACTTTGAGCCATGCGTTCTGCTGCAGCGTCTTCTTCTGCCTCGTCTTGCAGCTTCTCTTTCTTTGATTTTTTCTTCCCATCTTCCTTGGCCTTCTTTTGTTCGGCCTCGATGTGCTTCTTGCGGCAGTTCTTGATCAGAACAGTCTCAGCATCTTCCAAATTCCTCGCAATCTTGTCGCGGTACTTAACCTTGTCATTCAGGTCATCGAAGTTGCGATTGATCCAGATGTTCCTGATTCCGCCAGGAAACACATCGTATAGCCCAGATAGAGCTTCCATGGTCAGCCATTTGCGTGGAATGCCAGTAACAAGCACGGTAGTGGCAGACGCGCGGATTCTGTGCTGAGGACTCGTCAAGAATGCTTGACGCACGCGAATGTAACCTCGTAATTCTTTGAACACGACGTAGAAAGTCCATAGAATGAAGATAATGCCAAGGAAAAGATGCGCCCACAGTCGGTCACTGTTTTTAGGTGCAATATTCGAGATAGAGTACTTGTCCAGTCCTTTCGCGGTCCCGCCTCCATTGTGATTGACCGGTAGCAGGATTGGCAAAGCCAGTAAAGTGGCGGGAAAGAAGATCTTCAGCAGCATTCGCAGGAAGCGCAAAAAGAAGTATGCGTCAAGGCCGCATTTCTGAATCAAGCCCAGATTTGTGGTTGTGAACAGTGGATAGAGCCATCCTACAAGACCTCCAGGAGGTGCCGCGACTCGTTCTCGCTCAGGGACCAGATATGACTTGGGCCGATATATCCTGGAGAGGCGCAAACGCAGCAGCATAAACACCAGAACCTGGATTCCTAGTGAGGCAAAGGCGGACACCAATGATGCTGCTAGCGTGTTGACGGTTTGACCCTCCCTCTGCGAAGCCTGCCCGGATCCGCAGCTCAGCAGGCCCAATACACCTCCGCCAGCGGAGCAGGAGGGCGCCGGTGGACTGGACATGTTGGCGGCGGTGTTGGGCGATGGAAGTCGACGGCGAACACGGCAAGATTGTCGCAGGAGGTGTTATCGTAGGGTCATGAAGGCTATCGGCGGCGGTGGTGGATGCAGGAGTGGTGAAGGCTGTCTGGCCATGCAGTGAAGCTGGTAGCAAAGCACAGCTACCGTACTGTCACTGTCGGCGTACGAGGCAAACCTGCTGCCGTCGGATTGTCGAAGTGTATGTCAAAGTTTCCAAGGAGTCGCGACGCGAGGAGTAGAAGCAGCCAATGGAGCAGCTCGTGCACGTCATGCGGCAGACCGCGCCACCGAGACGTTTCACTTCCAGCGAGGCGCTTAATATGTCTGGAGTGAAGCGCACGCTGTTGTTGTGTTTGTGTGCGACGGCCCGGCGCTTGGCACTTTCTCACTCACAAACAATGTCTAGGACGATGTTGGTTGCGGGTGAAGAGTCGGTGGTGCCATTAATATTGTCGCTTGCACCTTGTCTTCGCTGTCCAAGATTTCTGGTACAGTAGCCGCCTACGTCACCATCTTGCCAAGCCAGCATGCATGCCGACAACACCCCAATTGATGTCGACCTCGCTTCCATCGGCGGCGTCACGTGTGCAGAAGAATATGTGAATTCCCCAGGCGTGCGAATTGAGGGGCAGAAAAGCGGGCGAAGCATCGGAGCAATTACGTAAGCTATCTGTGAGATGCACTGTAGACTCGCTAACCATACTCCTACCCACGTTTGACCGGATAAGTCGTTCTGCGCCTGGATGCAGCAGGTGGCAGCCTAGTAGGCGCCTCACGAACTTCTGGCGCCACCGCTTTGTTCTTGCCTCGCGGCGACAGGGACTCGGATCTCAAGCTGGTCGCAGGTCTTGACAGCCACGCACCCAAGTCACCAAACATACCCGTCCACCACAGACTACCACCAGCGACCACGACCGTCACGGGAATAGCGACTGCCCAGTACAGCCACTGGCCCTGGCTCATATCGCGAATATCGCTGGTGCTCATGCCAAAAACGCTTGCCACGAATGACAGGGGGAGAAAGATCAAGGTGACGACTGTGAAGACCATGATAGCAGCCTCCTGGCGATCTTTGTTGGTGTCGATCTCGGCTAAGTGCCAGTCCCCGAGGTCTGTGGTTCGATTTTGCAGCGCTTTGAATTGGTCGATGCGAGAGCTGATTGTAGCCTTCGTTTGCGCAATGAGATCGTCCTGTCGGTTCTCACGCACGATTTGCAGATTCGGCAGCTCAGTACCACCATCAAGCTGCTGATTTGTCCTTTCGAACACGTTGACAACATCTAACTGCGATGTGAGAGTGCTTGTCACGGCTTCCAGTTCCTGATGAAGGGCTCGGATCGTCACTTGGTGAGAACGATTGAGGGGGTCGCCCAGCATCTTTGCTTCCTGGCAACATCGTTAGCGACGGCATGTCAAGCGGCATTCGGATGGCTTACCAATTGTTGGCAATAATCAGCATAGACCTGCGATACATTGGGACCGCGGTGAATCAAGTCATTGCTGAGACGATCAAGAACCAGGGCAACAAGGCCTCTAGACGAGCACACTTCATACTTCGAAATGTCCACACCGTTCCTGAGGGTAATTGTGATAGCACGCTCGCCACCCTCGAGCTGTTTCCCAGCAGATATGAGCTGTTCAAGAGGCATTCTCCAAGCCCTCCGACGACTCCTCTTAAACTTGATTTCTGATGCGAGTACGAACGCAGAAATGATGTGCAGCCAAGCCCTGAAGAAGTGATCTGGTGCACACGGAGTTTTGCTTTCATGACCGTAGAAAGCCTTCGACAATGACGCAATATAGGGAACAAGGTCCTTGAGGAGCAGTGCTAGGAATTCTCCTGCCATTTGGCGATCGTATTCCACATCCTCGGCACCATGTCCATAGAAGGTAGTAGCTTGAAGAAGATTTTCAAGGGCGCCCCAGAATTTTCTTGTCAACAAGTGGTCGAAGTCGAGGGGGAAGAAGAAGCCAAAGACGTACTCCGACAGCAAGGCAATCCATTCCTTCCTAGATGCCAGAGTCTTACCTATCGCGGTGCCAGATTGGGGAGATTTGAAGCTGGTATCGCCTGCAAAAGTGGCCAGCCATGCCTGGACATCCGCGCGGGAGGCTTCTGGGCATGTAGCGTAACTATCCTTCAAAGCAGATTGGATGTTTTCTGCAAGTGTGTTGCTCATTGCATCCGAGACCTGGGACAATGTTGCATTTGACTCATTACTGGCGTATAAGAAAATCTTAATGTGCCCAATTTCTGCTGCCTCAGCAAATTTCGTGCGAGACCCAGTCACCTGTATCGAGCTGACAGTCGACTCTTTCTCGTCGCTGGGAGTTGATGTTATTCCAGGCTGATATTTCTCAGAGACCGGGCAAAACGCCTCTCGCGCTTCCTGCATGGTCTTTGCCATGTTGGCTTTCAGATTGGAGTTCACCGGCTTTTCAAGACGGATCTCGACATTAGATCGAGTATCATGACTCAACGCGCCTTGCCATGTAACGGAGTCCAGGACTCGGGTCTGCCGCATAAACACCGCATCAGGGTCAAATCCCATCATCTCTGACAAATTATCGGTGAAATATGAAACTGTTGATGGCAGAGAGAGGGATAGGCTTCGAGGAATTTGCCAGCTCCGAGCACTTCCAACTTTGACAATTGTGTAACTACCTCCATCTTCAGCCGGAGAATGGATGATCGCGTCCTGTTGAAGCTCTTTGAGGGAGGCTTTGCTGCAGGTTATGATGAGTGCTTCGTTTACTATGAGGCACCAGACATTAGCAACATGTAAGTATGCTCCTTTCTTCGTAGTTGATAGGCTAGCGATGGCTTGAGCTAGCTCGCGTCTTTCATTGGCCGTGCGGGTTTGTACTTGCACCAGGGGCGTCGACGGGTGCTCTGGTGAGCCAAATGGGAGAGCTTTAATGCGGTCGCCGGAACCCTGCTCAAGAGAAAAGCTGGGAAAGCTCAAGAAGCAGATAGACGATGTTCGCATTTCTTGTGGGCCTGCATCTTGGTAGTCCACATCACCGATGCAGAACGGCTCCATTTCACGCCCACGCTGTCGTTGCATTTCGTGTTCCTTTTGCGCTTTCAAGAGCACCCCTTCGACATGCCGTTTGTCTTCTTGCGGACAATCCATGGCTGAGCGAGTAACAGCGACAAATTCCTCAAAAGTCATCAGACTTCTCTCCAAATGAAGCCAACGTATTGCCGGCTTCCTCTTTGTAGATCTTGACGAAGACACGAAGAGCTCTGCGCCGAAGGACCACTCATCAAGCGCGGTGCCCAACCATGTTGAGCGCTCAATGGCAGTCTCTGCTATTGCTCCTCCCAGTGCACTACCAAGAGCTGACGCAACCGTGGGGTTCACATCAGATGAGTCGCTATTTGTCTTCTCACCAGAAGCCGAGAATGTGAAGTCGAAGTTCAATCCTGAGAGTTCACCATCAAGGTCAGGAAGCAGTTCTTCATCTTCAGAATCATATCGCTCTTGATCGTCTCCTTCACGTCCCTTAGACTCGTATTCTCTAGTCAAGCGGTCGTCAGCGGTAGTCTCGGATGTCCGGTTTCGTGGAAGAGTATATACTCGATTATAGCTGGAGCGCGCTGGACGACGGCTGCCAGAGGAATGAGGCACATAGATCGGACTTCGAGTGCGTCCAGGCTTCGCATCTTTGGCGTTCGTGATTGTGACTCTGGTCTTGGTTCCGGAGGCACTCACACGCGTTACTGGCTCCGGACACGGTTCCTGCGGTGACACAGTCCTGATTCGAGGTCTGACCGGCGCCTCTGTATTATAGTCTGCTTCAGACCGATCTCGCGGCATCGCGCACAACCGTCTTCCCCTCTGTGGACAACTGAAGCCTCAGACGGAGCCTGCTTCCTCAGTTGAGCTCTACGCCGAGGCCCGCCGTTGTATATCACCTAATAGCCACTACCTCAATCGTGCGGAAGAGCTTCGCATGCTGCTCAGTGGTCTAATTCCTGTCTAGCAAGCGTATATAGACGTCGATACGTGTACTGATCTGGGCCAAGAACTCGATTTCACCTAGTCCACGAACTTGAGTATAGGCGAGGACGATCCTGCTATTCTATAGTGTGCACCCAATACCATGTCGTAGTGTACCAGTCTTGGGTAGCTTGTGTTTCCGGGCACCGGTCAATTCATTTGTCCGCACCTAGCAGACCGCTCGAGTGGTGATATCCATCACGGCCAAGAAGGAGCACAACGCGAAATCGGAGGTGCTGGTCCAGCTAGGAAGTGCCATGCTCACTGAATCCTCCTAGGAAGAGCCCTGCGAGGCGGCATCCTTTAGCAAGTCATGGTGGGGTAATGTTCGCGAAACGAGTATCAAATCCTCGCCACTTCCCCGAGCCCCAGCTACCCGCCCGAGCCCCAGTAGATATACTAATGTAGAATCGTCCTGAATTAGATTACGTGCTGTTTCTACCTATTACATATTATATCCGTTCTTGAATAGTGTTGTTAATAGGCGCGGAGGTCGCGCCTCGAATTCGCGCCTCGAATTCTACTGTAGACCTAAAGTTCGCATTTCTTCCCCCTTTCGTAGTAGATTACCTAGTAACTACCGAAAATGGCTGAATCTCTATCCTACGACGAGTTTCTCGATAAAGTTATCGCCGGCGGCGGTAATAGCGCAGCGGCGGCGGCGGCGGCGGCGGTAGTAGAAGGTATAGAAGGCGCGCTCTCGGCGGTAGTTATTAAGTCGTAGAAGGAGGTAGAAATAGAGGTGGAAGGTATAGAAGGCGCGCTCTCGGCGGTAGTTATTAAGTCGTAGGAAGAGGTAGAAATAGAGGTAGAAGGTATAGAAGGCGCGCTCTCGGCGGTAGTTATTAAGTCGTAGGAAGAGGTTCAATTTGTCTCGGAGATACGTATTCGAGGCCGCTCGCGCTTACTGTCGCTATCGCTACCGCGCGAGCGTATCAATCTACTAGAATATCGATTAGTATTGCCGCGACCTTAAAAGCACGAGTTTGTAACGATTAAGCGCCCTCGTAGGCTATTGCCTCGCTAGTCGTCGTTTCCTTCGAAGAATGCGCTCGTACGCTATATTTAGTCGTTTAGTATAGATACTAGATTCGAGTTTAAAGAGTAGAAACCTAAGAAGAATAAGGATAGTATTAAAAATGTGCTCCTAGGCGGCTAGCGCGTGCCTAGAGGAGTGCGAGCGAAGCTTTCGCCTTATATATACTAAGCTAATTCGGTTCTTTAGACCTCGAAGCTAGACCTTAAAGCTATTACTATTATTATACGATTTAGTTCTATTAGAATAGTTTATTAGGAATAAGTATTTTTATATTTTTGTATTACTATTTTTCTTTTCTAGTATTTTAGATACTACTTTATTATTTTTAACTTTACATATATTACTTACTTTTATTCTAGTTTTCTCTAATTTTTTATATCTATTACTACTTTTTATATTATTAAAAAAACTATTTTTAATTTTTTTCTTTAATGTTTTACAGTTTTTCTATTTAGTATCTTACTTGTTTTACTCACCTATTTTATATTTTCTTATTTATTTTTATTATATGTTTTCTTTTTTCTAATACGTCTAAGTCCTCTTATTTATATCCTTATTTATTACTTGTTTTCTATCTTACTACTTAGTTTAGTACTAGCTTATTATTTAGTCTATTAATTAGCTTATTATTTAGTTTATTATTTACTAATTTTACTTTGTTCTCTAGTTTTTTATTTAATCTACCATTTGCTTTACCATTTAGTTTCTTCTCTAGTTTATTATTTACCTTCTTTTTAACTTTATTATAAGTTATTTATTTACTAGAATATAATTTATTTTATTAATTGTTTAACTAATTGTTTAACTAATTGCTTTACTAATTGTCCAATTAATTATTTAATTAATTGCCTTACTAATTGTTCTACTATTGTTTTATTTATTGTTTTATTAATTGTTTTGTTAATTGTTTTGTTAATTGTTTTGTTAATTGTTTCGTTAATTGTTTTATTTATCGTTTTATTAATTGGTTTATTAATTGGTTTGTTAATTGTTTTGTTAATTGTTTTATTAATTGTTTTGTTAATTGTTCTATTAATTGTTTTATTAGTTGTTTTATTAGTTGTTTTATTAGTTGTTTTATTAGTTGTTTTGTTTGTTGTTTTGTTAATTGTTTTACTAACTAGGATAGTACCCGTACGTAAGTGCTTCTGCTCCTTCTACTTACGTAGTAATAGCGGTAGCGCCCGCGAGTTTTTAAATTTTATATATACCTAGTATAGCGGAGCCGCGAATTTTAGGGTTCCTCGCTCTTATTCTCGCTCTCGTTCCTTTAATATTTTTTCGGTAATTTTATAAATTTAAATCGTATGTTTTCTATAATTAAAATTAATTTTTCTATAGGTTCTTTTATTAAAAGTTGTTTTATAAATTCTTTTATTAATGTTTTAGTTAATTTTCTTATTAATTTTCTTATTAATTGTTTGTATATTTTACTATATATTTTACTATATATTTGAAGTGTTAGAAGGAAGGCAAAAGGCTTTACTAGCGGTTGTTCGGGAAGTCGGCGCTTGTTCGGGAAGTCGGCGCTTGTTCGGGAAGTCGGCGCTTGTTCGGAGATACCGGCGCTAGCTCCGAAAGTCTCCACTTGTAGAAATTGACCAATTAGGTATACAGGATTCTGAAATCCGGGGTCGGCTTGGCGTCACGTGTAGCTAAGTGCGCATTCCAGCAACTTACTATTGTAAGGCGAGCTTCGCTCGCAAATACCGCTATCTCTACGTCTGCGGCTACTTTAGTAAGCCTAACAAACGCACCTAGATAACGACTAATAAGGCGAAGAAGAAGACGAAGAAGATTAGCTATAAATTCTATTTCTACGCTATTACTGTCGACCCTCGTACGCCGGATAGTAAGTAGTATATTCGCTACTCTTCTAAAGATATATATTGCTAGTATAACTATAGACCTAACGACGTTGTCTTATTAACTAATATACGTGTCCGTACGAGGTCTTAGCAATTCCTTAAGCAACTAGAGCGATTATAGTAGTTACGAATACTAACCTCGAAGATTATAGCCTATTTCCGAGGCTAGGGAGTTATTCTAAAGCTATACAACGTCTATAATATTGCTTTTAACCGCAATACTGTCGCTCGAAGAGAGTCAAACTAGGCCGAGAGAATAGTTAAGCTACTAGACGAGAATTTAATCTTCTACGAGATAATAACTAATCCTAAGAATAGTGCAATTCGGTTAATAGTTGCCCTCTATCTACGGTCGCTCTCTGCCTATAAGGACACGCTATATATTATCTATTTGGATACGACTTATAGCACTAATTTATATAACCTCGAGTTGCTAGATATTGTCGCCGCTAGACCGATAAATAATACGATTAAACTCGGTATTAGCCTTGTTAAACCGAAGCCTAATAAGGCGGCCTTTATATAGCTATTGCAGTTAATCCGGAATGGCTTCGAGAAGCATAGTTGTCTACTACCTATTGTCTTTAGCACTAACCGTAAAGCGGCTCTTATATTAGCGATTAACGAGGTATATCTAGAGTCTAAGAATATCGTCTGCGACTAGTACCTATAATAAGACATATTAACTCGAGTACGCAAAGAATGAGGCGACTTTGTATAGGTAAAGGCTAACGATAGCTCGTAGACTAATAGTCTAAGGACTACTTAGTTTATAAAGCTGTTTACTTATATAGTCTAGAGTTAGTCCGAGGAAGAATTTAACGATAAGGCTTATAAGCTAGATAACGTGTTTCTATAGTTCAAGTCCTATTTGAACAATAACTAGTAGTGTTATAAGGAGAAGATTGTCTACTACTAGACTAACTAAGTAATGCACTTTAGCTATAAAACAACGTTACGAGTCGAGGCAACCTACGGTCGGATTAAGGAGTAGTTAAACTATAGCAGTCGGTACGATATCTTCACCCTCTTTAAGTCGCTTCTTAACTAGTAGCACTAAGGCTACGACCGCCGCCGAGCTGCACTCGCTAACAACCTGAAGCGCTGTTCTAAGGCCTTAATCGGTCTATTCTAGTCTTCTATAACTCGAGTTATTAGCGACTATTGCCTTCTCGAAGTACAGGCTCTATACTCGCGTACTAACTCGCTTTTAAAGGCTATAGTTAATGCTAATAGCAACGAGATTAAGCACTCGGTATACTCGTATTCTTGTCTATAGTGCCGCTATAACGACTACCTATCTAAGACCTATAGCTATCCGTGCCTTTACGATATTATAAAGCTTCTAGAGACAGAGGGCAGCCGTATAGTGCTATTGCCTTCTTACTTCTACGCTTACTAGTTTGTCGACTTTAAGAAGGTACGGCTCTTTAACTCGTACCGTATTCGAGAGCTATAGGTGATCTATAGCAACCGTAAACCTCTTACTAGCGGAGCGACGTTATATACAACAAAACGTATAGCAACGGCTCGAGAATTAGACGACTTGAATAAGATAGCAGTCGCTAAGAAGCAGAAGACAACAATACTAAGAATAGCGGCCTTCGTACTCGAGCCTAGCGTATCGCTTACTTAGTTGCGGACGACTATTAAGCACTATAAGTGCGTAAAGAGCTAATGCCGTACTTAACAGTGTCCTTACTAGAAGGCTGATCGACTATATAGCTCTGCCTGCTACCCTTCTAGCTTCGAGTACTATAATCTACGTTAAGAGCTATTACTTCCTATTAAACTACAACTACAACCTCCTTCTAAGCTAGACCTTCTACGGCAAGAGCTTAATAACCTTCGAGCGCGTAAAGAACAGCGCACTTAGTAACAGATTGAATATAGCCGACAGCAGGCGGCGT